TAATGCAGCAAAGATTTAGAGAGTCGTCAGTTTTCATCTTTCACTAACGATGAGGAAATTGCACTGCCTGGTTGGCAGCGCAGACATCTTGAGAGTACTTAGTGAGACATTGAACCCTTGTACATGTATGTGCTGTGAACTTAGTCGGGAGAGAAAAACTCTCGTTTTATTATCTATTAGTCGTGGTTGTCACAGGAGTACCTTGAAGGTTGCCATTTTTGTCTCAAAGCGTTCAGCTTCTTAAATGTTTCTGCACAAAGAGTTGCCAGGAATTTTTTCAAACTGCATTATAAGCTGAGCATTTTGGATTTGTTGCCATGGTGACCACTTTGATCATGGTGAATGCAATCATGATGAGCTTACTGCTTCAGAACTTTCTGGAAACTCTTTTAGGGTCTGTTTTCTTTGTTAGTCATGCTACAGGACTGCATCACCATGATTACTGAAACGGAATCCTAGAATAATTCGGTGACTGACTGGGATGCTTATCCTTAAGCCGTGCTGAATTTGGCCAGTTTGTAGTTACGGCTTCAGTTTACACAACTGTCTCGTCTCATTTCTGACAGTGGACAAAGTCACAGACAGAAAAGTTGATCTACATGGACTCAAATTACCGTAAAATTTCACTGCTGCACGAAACCTACCGGCAAGTGTACGTGAAACATCATTCAAGATGTAACCATTTTGGCCTTTTTTTTCACAATAAAGCTTCAGCCAAAAAAACTAACAACAGATCCTCTGTGTTATTGAAAACATGTACCATAAACTGACGGTGGATGTTACTGGTAAGCCACTGAGTTGGAGCAGAATTCCAGTTGTAATTCAAATTGATATTGTTTGAATGTGCCACCGTATTGCCCTGTTGAGTGGAGTCCGGACTTGGAGACATTAATGGAGAACCTGAATGATGCAGTTATATGTTCACGTACACGTGCATGTCATCACTTTATTAGTCACGGCAGCACACGCCATTTCACTGCTGAGGTGTCACCGTGCCACATGACATGGGGCTCCGAAGCAAGCGCAGCATGGACTTTGCAATTGCCGGGATGTTGAGTAATGCGTTGAAAAATGCATTACAGCCCGACGGGTTCTCTTTCCACTTAATGCAGCAGCTGGGATTGCTGTTTAAGAAAATGATCTCTTGACTGGAGTGTGGGGGACGGCAAACAAGAGAGGGCGCTTTGTTACCTAGTAACGACAAACCCCTTCCCCTCCTGCCTTCACTACTTTGTGCAGTTGTGGCACGGAGTATGCCTCTATACTCACTGTAAATGTACCTGTATGGCACTTCTGTGACTTTTTTTTGTATGAGTGCGCACAACTGCACGAGTCAACACCATGTGCATTTCAGTTTTCGATCGGTTTCTCCCTGATCTGTTGTGGCAGTTGAGCCAGATCTGTAGTGTTTGGAAACATTAGCTTTCTCCCTGCTGGTCACAAGACACTAACCTTTGCCAGCTTCTGCATGCAATCTTTAAGGGTATTATTGGTCATTCAGTTGATTGGTCAGTCGATGAGTTCATCGGTGAGTTTTCCATTTGGTTAGTTGGTCTGTTGGTCGTTGGATGGATTGGTCGGCCGGTCATTTGTTTTGTTGATTGGCTGTTGGGTTTGCTGTTACCTACATGACCCTTTGCTTGTGGCTTTCGTGGCTTTAAAAGAAAGTAGGTTTGCGGTAGCACCATGGACGTACCTCTTTTGTGAGTATTTGCGGTTCTGAAAAGAACCAGTGGTACTCGATGTTTCGAGCAGTATGCTCTGCTCGTCATGAGGAGAATGCCGGATACTGACTGGGAGTGGAGCTTAAGTGGCATTGTTGACCTCCCCATTGGGGGAGGAGGAGTGGCCAAAAATATCATGACGCGCAACCCACCGGAATGCTGCCATCATCTGTCCTCAATAAACAAGCTCCATATTAAAACAGACCCCTCCATAAATATTCTACATTTGTAGTCTGAAATCACTACCTGCAACCAAGCTGTACGTGCAAGCACGGTACATGTTAGAACCCATCTCGATTACAATCTCACCAAATTAGTTCACAATCTGCCTGAGGATTGACAAAAGATGAATAACGCTGTTTAATGAGATGCATTGACCTAATTAGCTCGGTTCATTTACCCACGGCATTCAGCGTGAGACGATTTACAGATCAGTAACGCAAGAGTTCTGCCCGTTATAGTCTAAATGCGTTCACCTGTGGTCTGCCCTAAATACTCACTAAACGCCACTAATTGGATTGCTCTGATTATTCTGTGATTCCTTCACAGCGTGCCGCTCCGGTAGTTGCGTTGCCATTTTTACGATTTTTTTTTTTTTTAATTTGAGTGTTTTGGTGGACATGCACATTACTTCAATCAGCATGTCGAAGCACTTTCATGTATGCACCCATGTTCATGAAACAATTTTCAAAAACATGGGCAGATCTAGAACCAAGTTTTTTGGAGGGCAGGGCCAAATTGGATTATTTTTTTGGGGGGGTAAGCATTTTTAAAATTTACTAGGTAACTTTTTACAGCCTAAAAGGAGTCACCTTCAAGTCAGTTCTGGGTTTCTTTTTTGTGTGAGTATACGTACATGCACCTGTCATACCGTACTGTAGTTCCATCAGATTACATGTTCATGTAATGTGTTTAAAGCTTTATAAATTGTCCTTTCAGGCTGTGGTTTTAACTCAAGCAGGCAATCTCTCCTTTAACTGAATGCCTGGTCGAGATTTGTGCATTCGCCCTAAGACATTAGCATCCATCACTGTTGGTTGCTGAGAGAAAAATCAGATAAGTTTTTGTAAGAATAGCTTCGTAATCTTTTAATGAGATTTCGATCTGTTCCGATGGCACAGTCATCCGCTGTGCAATTTGATCAATCGCCACATGCGTGTGAAATCTAATTGGAACATTTCCGTTGGCTTTTCTTTCAAAGTGAGAAGTTAAAGATTTGGAAAACCGAGGGAGCAATTAAGTCAGGACCATGCGGTTAGGGGAATTGAAAGTGAGAAAACAAAAGGTGGGAAAAATGGCGTCCAGGAGATTACCATGGCAATGTCAGAGTTTGCCTACCAGCCAATCATTGGCCAGGTACAACCTTCCCCCCGGGTCCATTCATGGAATCTTGTTGCCGGCGGGCAGTATCGCACTAATGAAATTGTGAAGCAATTTGGCCCGGGGATAGGGATGGCTGACGATCCAGGGAAAGTTACCGTGCAATTCAATAAGTTTTCGGCCGTAGCATGTTGGGAGAGGCGATTTGCTCCATGATGGAGGTACTGTAACTCGTCAGCTTTACCTCAGAAGTCCAACAAAAACCAATTAAATGGTGAATAGATTTAAACTGGAACAAATGTGTGCAGACATTTTGGCTTCATGTACATAAAGTCTGTGTTCCAACTTGTGATCCACAGTGAAAACCAGGTCACTCCTACGAAATGCCGCACCTTTTAATTCTTATCCCTGCTTGGGATAATGGAACCATCCATTGCCCATCTGCAGTCTGTAAGCTGTAACCGTTTGACACGCGCCATTAATAGCCAAAGGGGGGAACACTGATACTTTTGCGCGGCCCCGCTGGGTTGTCTTTCTCTGCAATATGGAATCAAATTTCTTAATACAACACTACATGGAGAGAGACTCGTTCGTTTCCCTGTCATTTTGACTGCTCCACACGGTCTTCTGCTCCGGATACACGTGTATAACGGTATGTACATGTACATAAAAAATGTATAGTACATGTAGGTGTGATTTCTTGTTAAAAATGCAGGTGATGTGTAGCATTTAAACTTGCTTTTCGGTTCACTGGTTCTCGATTGCTTCTCAGATAGCTCTTAAATATGCCTGTAATGGATGTGAATGAGAAGGTTACATTTTATGTAAAAACCGTGAAAAAAAATTAGATTTTCATTCAAAAGTGTCTTGTACGGACAACAGCTGTGTATTGTACACATGTACGGTACACGGACATGTGAATATTTTCAAGATCTTCTGCAGAGAAAACAATTAATTGCCCTCATTTTATGTTTGAAAATCTTCATGAGAACTCGGCCACCAGAACGTTGCCTTTACATGTACATGTATGTGATATGAACTGTAATGTGATCCTGAATGCTCATACATATATTCAAAGGAGGAATATGCAGCTCAAGAGCAAGTGTAATATTTACCAACTTACAGAGGGGAGCAATTAAGAATTGAAGTCAGCATTCAGAAAGATAAATTTCAAATGAGATCATTTTAAACCTCTTGACCTCTGCAGGCATTCAGCACTTGAGGGCCCCTGATAGGACTCACCCTATCGATTTCGAAAGAAGTGTATGAATTCTCTTAAGTAGCCACTTAAAACAGAAAATCCACCTTCTCGAAAACAAAATCCGAAGAGGTCAAAAATGTGATCTGAATTGAATTCCATTGCCTCATCGTCATTCGGCAATTTTGCTTTCTAGTCCACCGAGCGATTGGAAGGCAGGGGTCAAGAAGGCATTTTTATTTTTCCAGTGATAATTGGAAACGGGGCCACCGGGCACAGCTGGGGAAAGTGGTCCCTGAATTGGGATGCTTTTTGAGGTCCCTGGATGTTGGACCCCGTGGGCATGACAGAAATATCGGCAAACTATCGCAGAACTACCGCATCGTAGCATACTTTCCTGAAGAAGATGACCAGCCACATGATTTTTTGTTTCCCCCAACACTTTTCAAATTGAGCTTTCTTGTTGATGTGCTAGCTCGTCGGTACAGAAATAAAGTCCTCATTTGATACTGAAGGGCCTTTTTGCTTCACCATGCTAAATCACAAAACCAAATAACGCTTCACCAAATCCTGTGCAGGTATCGGAATATTCCTCTTCGTTTCATAGACTTCCCAGTGGGAGACTCTGAGATGCTTGGTGGCAGCAGACAGATTCTTTCTTCTTGCCAGTTCTAGGCATGTGCATGCAATTCTTGGCATGCGGGTGTACATGTAGTTCTGAGAAAGTGTTTTTTCCCTGTTCTTCCTTCTGTTTCTAGTCACAAGTTAGAGGTTGAATTTGAGGAGAACCACTGCATTCGGAGGAACAGGCTCCAAAGATACACCGCACATGTGATAACGTGAGTAACCTAGCAAAACTGTTGCTGCCAAGGTAGCTTTCATCAAAGTACCGTTCAATCAATAAGTTGTATGTTGTAAAAAATGCTTTTCTTTTGCAGTTGATATTATTGTTTTTGCGCTTTTATTACACAACAGAGAGATTTGGGAAGCTACATGTACATGTACATGTAATCAAGAACAGGTTACCAGCTAAAATACCACATGACGTGGATTGCTTGTGAGTGCTGGGACTGCTTCCCCGCTGATTTGTTCTTGGCACATTTGGAAAGCCATACTCTCTGCCCAGCTGTGCCGTGGAATTGGGGGCAAAATAAAAAAAATATTCAACTGCTTTTTCTATCATCAGGGTGGCTCGATTCAGAATGTAAGATGGGTGCCTTTGGGCCCTGTATTGGCTCTTTTTGCACCAGCCAAATGAGGGTGCAAATGCATACCTGCCGGTATTTGGGTGTCCCGGCTGCCACATGGTACAAGTACATGGGTATCTGTCCCATGTCGCACCTATGCTACATGTAAGTGTGTGTGCATTGCTCACTGTTTACAAGACATGACTCAAGAGAACACATCACAGGAAGTTGGGCTGCTGTACCCCAGCTCTGTTATTTGGGGGAAAATGTGCATTTTCATGGCTAAAGGGTCAGTCTGAGAGCAAAGTCCCTGGAAATTTAGACCTCCCTTTACATACAAACTTGTAGTCTGATCCAAACAGAAAGTGTGTCAGCTGTCAAACAGATCTCCTGCTCAGAAACCTCTGTCGAGGTGCCAGTTTATAGCGAGGCAAGGATCAGCTGTCCTGCTAAAACCTTTATCTGAGCTCCCCACACTTGAAAAGAGTCCCCTCTTAACTTACTGTGTGGCACAGAGTTGAATGTTTGAGGCCCCCTTCCATTCCTAACAACAATCCCTTGCTGCCGGCAGTGGCTAGGATCATCAGCTGGAGGGAGTACCGTAAATATTTCTTGGACCTGTCGATATTGACGCTCTTTGTGGATCGTACCCTCATCCCTCCTCACAGAATCCAGCGCGCCTGGAGACAGTTCAAACGGAGGAAGCTCAAGAAGGTCTCGCATCCTGGCCCTGCTCGTCACCATAGCAACCATCGAGGAGGAGGTGGAGAAGAGGATGAGGAACGGGATGCAAATGGTAACCGGGCCGGAGCAGACGGAGACTGGGGCGTAAGGGAAGGAGAGAGGCAGCTTGGAGCAAGGCCCGAAGCGGCAGATTATCAATCAGGATCAGACAACAATTGGGGCCCATCAGACGCAGGTGAGGTTCAATTTCAACTTTGCTCTAAAGGTCTGCTTTTGTGTATTGGTTTCCCTCCTTCCAGTCTTTCATTGAAATAACATGCACTGAATTTGTAACGTATGTTTGATGAATTAATGTTAGTTTTCAGCTTGAAGTATAGAGGATTTTCAGTTACGTGATATTTGACGCCATATGGTCAACGTTCCATTTACAGAGATGTGCGCGGAAACACACACACCTTCCAAGTCTCTCAACATTGCAACATAAGTGAAATTGCCAATAGAAATATACAGATTTGAAAATGCACGCACTTCCACAGACATGGTATGCTTCCTGAAATGCCTTCGCCCATCATGTTACGTCATGTGAAAAACCTCTCTATGACTTAAGTTCTGTCTTTGAGAAACAGTCTGTTATGGTTAAAAGACATGTACGGGTATCAGGCCCCTAATGAAGATGCCCTTATGAAGATGCTGTGTTCAATTCAGTTGGGAAAAATTATTCCTATTAAGTCATTTACCCGTTTATCAATTCAGTCCCATTTTAGTGTAGCCAAGGAGACTAGATGCATAGCATACAGTACATGTACATTGCAATTGAAAGTTAATGTGAAAGGGAATAGGACATTTTGTGACAAGAAGTCATGCTGGCGTTCACATTTTACAAGGCTTAAAATATTTTCCCTGTTGTGTGAAAAGGTGTGACAGTGTTTTCCCACTTGTGTGAAAAGTCATAAAAATGTCTTCCTTCCAGTGAGGGAAGGCGTGAACATGTTTTCCCACTCGTGTGAGGACTTGAAAATGTTTTCCCGCCGTGCGAAATTGTTTTCACATTTTGTACAAATGAAATGAATGCCCTGGGAAGAGAACAGGTGTGAAATCCCAGGTTAACCTTTGATTGCAGTGAACAGCAGCTGGAACTTTGCATCTGTCCTAAGTCGGGAGTAAATTTCACAATGCCTCAAAAGAGTTGCTCTTCTTCTCCAGTAATTTTCAGAAGGCGTTTTAGTCCAACACCCTAGGCACTGTGAAATTGGTATACCGTACATGTACTGGGAAATTAAGTAAATTGTGCCCTGTCCCAAGACTGTAACCTCTAACAATAAACAACATGAAAATGGACTTGTGATAATGGTCTTCAGACTTTACCCCTCTTCAAGTTTGATTTGAAAATGCACAGCTGGTCTGAGTTAGCTTTACTCATTGAATGTGTGCGTACATGTACATACGAGTACATGTACTGCACATGTATATCTTTAACCTACTTCTGAGTCATCAGGATGTATTGGCCATCATGGCCAGGAATGTCCAATTACGGCCTGTTTATTTTACGCCCGCATCAACATATCAGGTGATTGATGTTTGTTTATCCAAACCTCCCGTCCTGGTTTGCACTGCCCTGTGTATATTTCTGTTCTTGTAATCCACTGCCGTATGATTTTCCGGCGACCAGAATTGAAGAAGAAGAACCCAACTGTTGCCCCAGGAGTTTAGAACCGTCCATGCCCTGTCATGCCTCAGGTGCACCATTCGTGTTGTTTTTGCCTAATGCAGTAATTTAAATGTAAAAAAAGAAAAGAGAAAAATCGGAGACTTTGTTTTAGGGGAGAAGATGTCATTTGGGACGATATCCATGTACATGGTGTACATTTAAGGCAAGTCATTCTTGCCTGGTTGTTCCAGTGATTTGATGTCACCGATGTATTATGTTTCATGACCCGTCTTGTTTTTTTTTGTCCGACTTGAAGCTGTGCCCGACTATATTTTCCAGTCGAGTGTTTTAGCGAAGTGCCGGGGGAGAGGGGGGAGCATGATTCAATTAAGGTAACGGATGCGAGAAGTGCCAGCGTGTAAAAATGGCTTTTGATGTAATTGAAAACAATGCTGGTGTCGCAATTGGGACTCGAAGCAAAATGCGCCAGTTGACCAAATCTATTGAGAATAGAGATACATGTACATCTGTAAAGGCATACCAGGACTGTTTACGCCAGTCAAAGGGAACGAGAATTGCTACTTTTGTTCAAGCACCAGTGCTATGTGTAAGTAGATTTTCTTAAGCACGCGGTACTTCAGGCGGTCTTTTTAAAATCCATCTTTAAAGTCTCTGACATTTACATGTACATGTACAGCGTTTCAACCCATGCTTTAAGACACTGTACTCTCAATCAGAAACGCACTTCTTTGTTGTACAAATAGTGGACTCATCTGTCAATTCTGCAGTACCCAAAAAAAATACATGAACACATACTATACATGTATGTATGTGTGTATTACATGTACGGTATATGTACCCTTATGTTACCAGCATGTGTACATGTACATGTACGGATTGGAGGGGGGTGCTTATTTGAAAAGTGAAAGGGGGGGAGGAAGCAAAACAACTGAAAAAAAGAGACAAACGAGGTTGAAAATCACCAAATTGTTTGGAAAAACCTCAAAATGGACCCCCTGCAACTGTTACTTCTTTCAGTTTTACCTGATACATGCTTTGCTCCCCTGGAAATTTCCCTCCTTGAAAAGTAGTGTGCCCCCCCCTTCCTGCCGACGCCCATGCGTCCATTCCAAGTGGAAATTTTTTCTTACAGTGATTTTTACTGCAGAGGAAAAGAGTTGATGGATCAAGTCCAACTTTAGTAACTGAATTGCCGTCCAGAAACGTGAAATAATTTCATATTACCGGTAATCATAGATTCCTCTGAAATAACCATCCAACCTTTGTTACACAGACTCTGTTTCCAGAATTGCCTGTTTGATGAGGTAACCTGTCACATTTTAAATATATTCGTGTGTGGCATTTCTTGTAACTGTAGTAAAAATCTCAGAGAAAGAGGATCCAAGTGTGCTGTCAAACCGTCGTCCTTTGTTGCTTACAGTATCTACGACATTGCTAATGTATGTGTACCTTACATAAGTCACTGACCGGTGCTGTCCAACATGTAAATTTGCCTTGGGAGACATAGAAAGAATGACCTCCAAGTCTTGGCATTAGCCCACTGGACTTGATTGAAAACAATCCAGTGAAAGAAGGGAACCTCACACCACCTGCTGTTTGCACACATGTGTTTGTATGAATAATTTGTAGTCTTTCATAATGACCGTTAGAGATTCATCATTGTGTGTTGGTCAAATTCGACGAGTATAGCATCCAGAAACAGATCTGAGCTTTCAGAGATGGAGTGATTTACATTTAGTGTCAAAGTTGTCCAAAAAAAGGGGGAAAAGGGCATAGTTTGAAGACAGAAATGGTGCCAATCAAAATGCAACAGTTCTTTCATTGAATGACAGACAGATTGAAGATATGTGGAATTAACATTGTTGGCCAACTTGTACATGTACATGATGTACACATGTCATTGAATTTTTTTCCCATGTCAATTTTTCCAGGACAGACTTGCCTGTAGTAGGAAAATTTTGGGATAGCCAAATCAAAGATGTGACTACCTTTTTCTACACATTTAATTACTTATTTCTCCATCTTCCCTACATACACCTCCCCTGCCAACTGTCTGGCACCCACATCAAGTCCTGCCAGACAGTTTAATCAAGCTCCCTCATAATTTGTCTTGCCAAACCTATCAGGAGTTGAGAGTGACAACGTCAATATGACGGCTGCAGCACGGCGCTCGAAAGCACACCAAGCCATGCTGCAGGACCTAGGGAGCAGCGTGGAACTGGACGACAACAGCCACTTCTACGAGTCATCGCCTGAGGTGGCCGACAAGAAGAAGAATAGGCTGAGCCTGGCCGAGGAGTTTGCCGCTGCCATGGAGGAGGATGATGGCATGTCGGGGGAGGTGGCCGATTGTGAGGACTGCGAGGACACGGACACGAATGAGAGCGACACGGAGAGCTCTAGCTGTGCCACCACACCGGAGTGGAGCTCCCCCGACAAGGCAGAGCAACAGGACTCTGAGTTAATCCTGGAGGTACCCCCGTTGGACATCGTCAGTGAGGACCTGAGAGGGCGATGCACACTGGACTCCGAGGACATCCAGCCCAGTACTATGCAAGAGACGGGGACTGCCCCAGACCCAAACAGGAACTACAGCGTGGTGGATTCGGACCCCAATGCAAATGAAGTCCCCATGGAGCTGACTGGAGACAGAAACCACCAAACAAACTCACAGGTCAGGGGTCAGCAGCCCCCGCCGCGGATTTCCGAGTGCCAACAGGACGAGGCCTTGAGGAGTGCTTCCTCCCCCATTAGGACCTCGGGAACCCACGCCGTGACTCACCCCAAGCTCCAGCGCTGTGCCAGCGCCGAGAGCCGGGACTCAGACCCGAGCCGCAATGGGGTGCCATGCGGCCGGCCCCAGATCCAGACGGACTTGGGCTGCGTGGAGCCCACCATGCCTGTGCTAGACTGGGAATCCCTGGAGAAGCACTTAGCCAAGATGGAGAAGGAAGAGGAACAGCAGAGCTATAAGCAGGTATTGACGGAAGCCCAGGATTGATAGTTTCCTGTTGAAACAGATATACATGTACATGTAGGGTACATAAAATATCCTTACCAGTAACGCTCAGATTATCAGTCAACATTAGCAGAAAAGTAGTTTTAGTTTTGATTGATACAACACTGTACGTGTACACTGTATGTACATGTTGCAGCCATGTTGCCATGTACGTGTACATGTCTGTAATGGGGCTTTATATTCTGGTCTTCATGCACAAGGAACGTGCCTTTGGGTTTTCATATGGAGTAAATTCAGGTTTCTTGGATGTGGCATGAACTACGTGTACACTGTACATGTATGTATGCGCTGCTTTTGGCGCTGTAATCTCTACCCTGCTGTCTTATGCACGCTTCGATGTTAAGCAACTTGTGTTGGAAGTTGTTCTTCTGAGCTGCCTTCAAGGGAGAGTGTTCTTTCCTGTACATGTACCGGGTACGGTAGCTTTGAAATTTGTCACCGTCAGCTACTTGCTTGATGAATGAATCTTACTTTAGAATTCCTTTCTGTTTGCAATAGCTCTTAAAGCTTAATCCTATGTGGTACCCGGTAGCTGTAACCAGCTGGGCTTACAAAATGGCCCAACATCGATAAACTTAGAGATGAGTAAACTTGCCAGAAAGTTTTCGTCTCACCATGGGTATAAAAGATCATGATGCTGTGTTACCGATTCATAGAACGTGCCCAAATACATGTAATTGCAGAAAAATATACATGTACAATGTAGCTTCAAATGAATGGTTTACCACTTTGATTTCTGTGTACCTCAGTGAAGATGACCAGGTGTCCGAAACACATATACACTACTTAAAAAAATAAACAGCATTGTGATTGAGAGATTTACTGGTGTGCTTCTCCTATATTGATATTGGGCTTACACATGCACTGGAAGTTTTCATGACCACTTTTTAAAAATATATCTATAATTTACACATTGAATACCGGTAGATCGCATTTTATAAGTGAATTAAAAAAAAAAATCATGTAGTTGAGAGTGCAGAGATCTTGTGTGTGTGTGAATGGCCAAAGTTTCTTCCATCATACCCTGTAATTTGAAAAGTAATGTCTTGCAAAGAATGTGTATGTCATTGGGTCACGCGAGAACCTCTGGTTAAAACTTTCCCAGACACAGAAGAACTCGCGGCAGGCCATCCTGCGTAAGCTGGCCATGGGCACGGACGACGAGGCCGAGGGCGACATCTACGGCAAGGGCAAAGACAAACTGTCAGCCCGGCTGCAGAGCGGCATGAACCTGCAGATCTGCTTCGTCAACGAGCCGGCCGACGGCAGCTCTGACCTAGAGGAGGACAGCCCCCGCATCCTGGCCGCCGAGGCCGAGCCGGAGATAGAGAAGTCCAGGAAGGGGGCGCTGCATGTGACCAGCCGGTTCGGCCGGGTGGCGGGAGCCGGTCGGCTGGGCGGGGGGCCAGGAATCAGGTTGAGCAGGGAGAGTAGCAACACCAGCACATCCTCGGCCAAGGTAGGGGCAGAGCCACTTTTTCAAAAGTACAGTATTCACATCAGTCTGTCTTAAGGACCCTGACTACAGACAGGGACAAATTTAGAATCAACTATTTTGGGGGGCTGCAAAACTTGTAGGGGTGGTAAAAATTTAGAATATCTTATGTAACCTGTTGTTTAGTTTCTGAGGGATGAGGCTACATTATACATGTACATCAAGGGGCTTCTTACACACTTTTGAAGGAAGGGAACTGAATTAGACGGCTTAAAATTGCCTTCCATTATTAGAAAAATTGTTTTGCTTATTTTGGGGCTCCATTCGGGGCTGTAGAAAATTATCAATCATTTCTACTCATTTCCTGTGTGCTTGCAACCAGCATGACCAGAGGCAACATCACTGAACTGCTAATTACATGTATGCATACACAGAACCAAAGATTATATAGCGCCGCTATGCGGCGCAAGATGGGTAAATCGGCCATAAAGGTGTTATCACCATGGGCGTCACTCGAGTGTGAACGTTAATTTGTGTGCGTGCCTGTCGCGGCGCCTGTGCATTAACAGGCACTGCGCAGGCGTAGTCCAACCTGGATGGCGCCCATGTGATAACAACGTTTAACGCATATTCATGGTGAAGTTCCCCATCTTGCGCCGCTACGCAGCGCTATACGATCTTTGCACAGAACTTTGCTCAGCAGTGCAAGTCGTTTGTCAATGGGCCACCTTCCAAAATTAACATGCAGTGTGTACATGTATTTCGTATGACTGGTCCTCAGCCGACTGTTGCTTAACACAAAAGTTTACTGAGCAATTCTTCTTTCCTGCCTGGAAGCTCACTCTCCCACCATGGCCACCAGAAAACTGTGAGTGTTTGACCCAACCCCGGACAAAATGAGTTGTTAGTTTGGAAGAACTACTAAAGAGCAGCTGGCGATTAATTGCTTTCATGAAAAAAGTAGACATAGCCAATGCCTTCGCTCTAATACATCAGGAGAGAATATCAGAATGTGTGGCATTCATTTATCGATGCTGGGATTTTATCCAAAAAGTCTTAAAATGCTTTGGACACGTTGGAAGCAAAAGTACATGTTTATCAACAGTTTCCAAGATATGATCGTGTAATGGCATATTTGGATGCAAGTGATTGCTTTCCCCTCTATCTGGGAGCAAGCTCTCTTTTGGGCCTTGACATGTTAATGTCTTCTCTCTCTCCAAGACTCCGTCGGTCACCTTCCAAGACGCAGAAGATTTTGAGACCCAGCAGGCCCGGCTGCAGGACGAGGCTCGGGTGGCACTAGCTCGAGCCGAGCCGCTGGCCCGCATGCAGATGGAGCTGGAGAGACAGCAGCGGAAAAAGTCACCGGTAACTGAATTGGTGAGGGTGGACTAATGCTGACACTAACTCTTACACACAGTGGTGCTTTGCTGGACCTCATGGAACAAGGCATTTAGTCAAATAATACACTGGTAACTACCCATCCCATGTACCTGAGGGCCTTGGTGGGTACCAGCATTTACAGAAAAAGGGGAAGTGGCACCCCAAATGGAGGTGAAACCAAACAATTGAACTGGGTACAGTTTCTCTTACCTACTCATAGATGGATCTTTCTTTCTTTGAGATGATTAAATTACCCCTTGAAAAAATTGGGCAACACTTGCTGAATTTGTCAACAGCAGCACAGAGTGGTATTTTATTGTTGCGCTGAACATTTTAATCCTGCCGTTCAGTTTTCACATGGACCGGTAGTCTGTGCCAAAGTACTCGTATTTACTGGACTAGGTCACAAGTTTTTGAGGTGGCAAGACCTATGAATAAAGTTTTGTTTTGTTTTTGTGCACGTGCGTCAGGCCGGAGTGTCAGGCATGACAGACATCTGCGACAGACTGCACGGCAAGAAGCTGACGCAGCGGGCTCTCAAGAACATGTCCCTCAGCAAACTGCAGTTTGTGGTCAACGACCTGCACTCGCAGATCGAAAGTAAGTCCGTCCATCATTATTGCAGTCCAAAATTACCACTCGAGAGATGGAACCTGCGCTCGTTACCCCGGGAAGGCACACAAACTAAACACTCCAGGGCACGGGTGGGTGGTGGATTCTTGTAATGAGGTTGTGTTCTTGGTTTGGTTGGGGGATTTTGTCAGTGTCTGCCTGAGGCCTGATTTCCAAGGCAACCTGTAGATGATAAGTGAAGGAAACAAAACACCCTTATTTTGACTGTGTCCCTGTTGTATCGGACACCGAACACAGAAACTTATTTCTGCATGTACAGTGTAGTTGATAATCAACAAAATATGGATTCAGTCCGCAAATGCAGTTTGAGTCAGGTGAAATGTCAGTTTTTGTCATTCCCCGCTGGTCATGGCAGAAATAATCCACCCATTAAAATGCAACGATTTTTGTTACTAGGGTACGTATATGTTTGCGCGATATTGTGTGCGCGTGCATAGGGGAAATGTCACTGAGTCCTTTCCAAGGGCTTGTTTTCGTTTGCCGAGCGACGGTCGACTCTGTCAGCAATTCTCCTGTTGTGTGATCATCAACAGGGATGGGAGCATGTCGCTGTTGATGGCTAGATCATTATGGCCACTGCTATCAGTCCAGTCCACTTTAATTGGCACCCGATCAGAAACTCATTAAAAGATGGCTTTGCCTGCTAATGTGACCAAGTACTGTGACTCTTTGTCGTGAATTAATAATCTTTGTGGGACCCTGGTTAATGCACTTTGCATGCTTTGCATTGTTGAGTAGTACCAGATATTTTTTTTCCCCTCATTCAGAGAGGAAGTAACTCATTATTTCTAGAGGTGTTATAATTTCCATCCTAGCGGGAGAAAGCATGTGCGACAAGGGCTATTACAGGCTTAATTAATTTACCATGGGTTAAGTGGGCTTACACGGTGTTGCTTTTAACACCTTCGACTAGCCCCATCTTTTTCTTTTATGGCACTCTCCATTGTACTGACACTAAGGCTGGGCTCCAGAGTCTTACTCATTTTTAACTTGTGTACACCTGAGGGCTTGTTAAGAAAACGACACAAGTTGCCTTGCGGGCGAGCAAGTCCATACTTTCGATCCAAACTTGGAGAGTCCGCCTTGAATAGAAGTACACAACCTCATCATTTGAAAAGAGCCATGGTGGCATGGTTGGTGTGTGTTGCCTAGTGGTTTGTGAACAAGCAAAGTGCAATTCCCACTAATAAAAACCTCCATTGCGAGGAAAATCGTGCCCTCTCTTGGTCCCGCTCAGGGCAGAAACTTTTGCATCACATTGTTATTTCAAGATGGCCGAAAGGTGAACGCCAACTAGCTGTTCAGTGTCATCTCACAGGCCCGTTGCCTGACCAGAGACGAGGGAGGGGGGTTGTCAAACCAAAAAGTGGAACTCATATTTTTATACAAAGGCCTATCACAACGTGCTTTGAAAAACAACATTGAAAAATTGCATGTCTGTCTCGAACCAAAGGTTGCATGTAAGACTTGTACTCTGAAGTTTTTAATATTGAATAAACTTAACCAAAATACATTGATTTCCAACCCTTTCAAACACGTGAAATGTGGATATTTGCCGGAACTTCCTGACGGTACATGTGACTGGAGATTGATTCATTAATATGCAGAATCATGGTCACCTTGAGCTTGAGAATCAACGTATAAGCCGAGGCTTGTATGCCGAATATTACAGTCTATTTAAAATATTCAGTACACAAAAAAAGGCCAACAAGCGGAACTCAGAAGCAAGCACGGGGGTTCGTTTGAACCACTCAAACCCCTTCCCCAGCCTACGGGCCTGTCTCAGTGGCCGATCTACAAGTACATGTACATGTAGGCTCATTGCATACAAGAATGTATGATCTGTAAATAATGCAACCCCCCCGGGTGTCAAAGAGTAGCCCGCGCACATGCAGCCATGCGTGTTTGCACATCTCTCTGAATACCGTTACCTGCAACCACGGATCCCCTGTTGTTCATCCTTTGTTCAGAAGTCTGAAGTTCTCTGCTCAATTGTCGATTGTGCACGTTTAGTAGGTCACCTTTGGAGGATCACCCAAAGCTTTCTGTATGTGGCTGTTGCAGTGTAGAAGTCAAGACCATCACAAGACCAGCCACAAGTAACCGGGTGAACAAAGGAATGCTGTTGTAGCAGTACGGTATAGCTGACTAGCTTGCGACTTGAAGTTGGACTGGACATCTGGTGTTGGTCTTGTGAGGGTCCGAAGGGTGTGGACCAGAGCGCTGGATTGAGTCGGCAAACACATATTAATTATATATAACGGTTTTGCCCTTACCCAACGTATATTAATAAGCACTGTATGCTCAGTGCTTGTCCGAGAGCTTGCGAAAAAAC